TATATATACAGTATATACCTTATATAAGCTACAGCATGAGTCAAAGGTCACAGGATACACTGACCCAACATGGCAGCTGGCAGCCATGTTCTGGACTTAACTAAAAGATAGAACCCCACAGGCATTACTTGCTGGTGTTTTCATATACATAACTTTCCTTTTTCTTTACGAAACAAAAAGGTGTCCTGAGGCTTCTGACTCACCTTGTATATATACAATTACCACAAACAGTACTTACATACTTATTGTCGATCAGTAAATTATTTGAGTACTCAAAATCCACAGCATGGATTTTCTTACAGAACCATCTGAAGTAAATTGTCCAATTTTTAGAGTTAGAATAATAAAACTGAACAGCAAGTTTATTGTATAATTGATTGAATCCTTTATGATGTGGTACAGTGTTTCCCAACACTAACCATAACAACGTGATCTTTAACCTTGACTTTGACTCTAACCCTTGAGCATCAAGCAGAACTTAAATAGAAACTAACCAAGTAATCAATTCTCCGCAGGTCACCAGGATGCATCTTACCTGGTTGCTAGGGGCGTGTCTCTGGTTGATATGCATCACAGAGGTTTGTGCAGCTACGTTCAAGCTTGCCCTGGTTGGCCCATGGTCATGTGACCCAATGTTCTCCAGGGCGATGCCTGCAGCAGCAGCTAACTTAGCGTTGTCTCGGCTGCGGAGTGATGGGGATTTGAGTAGAGGATTCTGGTACGATGTGAAACTGCTCAATGAGGACTGCTCCACATCCAAAGGTTTGTTAACCCACCAACTACACCATGATTTGCCTAGTTAAATAAAGGTCTATTAATAAACAAGTCAAACTAAGTACAAAAGTCTGATGTAAAACCTTATAGTTTATTGCACATATACTCTTGCCATACAATTACCTCAGACACACTACAGCAGTGGTTCCCAACTTTTTTAGACTTGTGCACCCTTGAGCCATTTTGTCATACCACTAGTACTGCCTCAGTCAAACGTAATGATGATTCTCCAAAACTATAATGTAAAACAACTGATTATTAAATGAAAACTATTTAAACCCCTAGAACATTTAGTTCACAGGCATTTTATTATTTTCAACTCAATTTAAACATAAAGAAAACATTGTCTTGAGAGTGAATAATAATCAAATAATTAAATAAATAAACCAGGAGCATCCAAAGTACATCAGAAACTCGCCTAAATGAGCATATTCCATGAGATTATGCATTTTACGGATTTCCATTTTGTGTCAAATCTGTACCCCCTGTAATATGCTCACGTACCCCAAGGGGTACATGTACCCCTGGTTGGGAATCACTGCACTACAGCTTGCAGGAAGGAAGACTTTAATATATTTAATTACTATTAATTTTGCCTTAATCTTAATTTTATAATATTCTTTTTCTTCCAGCTTTGACTGAATTTGGAGAAATGGAGGGTTATGGCCATGCTTACATTGGCCCATTTAACCCTGGCCTCTGCCATGCTGCTTCTTTATTCACTCAGCATTGGGAGGCGGGGCTTGCATCTCCAGGCTGTCTTGATGCTGATTGGCCAAACCTACCACCCATCACTCCTCCCTACAAAGTCCTCTTTACTGTGCTCAGATTTTTTCGCTGGGCACATATTGGCATCATCTCAGGTGAGGGTATTGTGTAGTTCCACCACTGAAGGCTTTCTGAAGTTTCCAGCTGAAAACTGTTGGTGTGTAAAGAACTCCAGAATAAAACCTCAATGAAACTGATCAACATAACATATTTTCAAGTTTTCAGAGGCCAGCCTGTGTTACACCAACAAACAGAGAGTTACAGTGGGGAGGTAATAAAAGTGGGATTTACCTGTTCAGAGTCATAAAAGCAAATGTTCAAGGCCCATGGGCCAAATGTGGCCAACCACAGCATTGTATGTGGCTCATGAGAACTTCAAAATGTATTCAAGTCATAAAATAACACATGCTTTAAAGTCAGCTTTGACCATAAACTACCTATGCCATAATGCTTGATGATATTTTACCCATGAAATGATGGCATCTCACCACTAGGTGGAGGTGCACAGAGTTCCCATTTTCACCAGCTACATTTGCTGCAGCCCAGTGGTACTGGGAAGTGGGAATTTCACACATACAAGTTGTAAATTTAAACTGGACCCCCCCGGGAATTCCCTGTGGGAAAGTGGGTTCAAAATTCAAGATGGTGGTTACTTATCCCAATTCAACAGCGAGTAAAACTCTTAATTTAAATAGCATTTCTGCATTATTTACTTCACATTTAGTCAGTTGTACATGCAGTGCTTTACAGTGTTTGTAAGTCTGTTTCTATGCAGGAAATACCAAGTAGAGCTCAGTTACTGTTTGTTAGTGGTGCTCGGCCAGAACAAAGAGACAAAGGACATGAAGTTTTGTGTTTAGTTGAAGTGAAACACAACATTGAAATAATTATAACCAACGCTTTGAGGGGAACCACGATGCTCAGGTGGCCCTTGGTGAAAATGTGTTTGGCACCCCTGCATAAAAAGATAAAAACTATTTCATTTTAAATTAAAGCCTCATCCTTTTATTGGTCAACTAACTTTTTCCTCAAAGTTAGAATTTGAATCAAATATCGCCACAAAGTTTTTATGTGAGGTTTTACAAATGGCTGCAAGCTGCCCAGCGGTCAGATTTATAAAGCTTGTGTTGCACAAAATGAGACCAGAAACTTGTGTACGCCACTTTTCACATAAAGGTTGTGATTTATAGAATCCAAACTTGACGTGGAAATGTGCGGTCCCTCAGTCAGCTCTGACCCTCAGAGGTCTGACCCTCACAGATCTGACCCTCAGAGGTCTGACCCTCACAGATCTGACCCTCAGAGGTCTGACCCTCACAGGTCTGACCCATGTGTACGCTCATTTTGGAGACGTGAAACTGTGACACAGATGGTGAAGTGAGGAATTAGAGCCACACTGTGTAATGATCACTGTCAGAGATTTAATTTACCTTCATCAGACTTAGATTTTTATTCAGCTTTATCATTCATGAGGTACTTTACATTGACTGTTTATGGTTGAGTGTGGGCGTGTAGAGGGTAGAACCTGAGGAGGGACCTTGGTCCAAACTCTGAGGTGCAGCTGTGATCTATGAAGATGCAGAAACATGCGTGCACACTGTTTTATAAATTGGAAAATTTTTTTGGCATGCACCATTTTCACATTTTGACTGTATGTTAATTTTTTAGTATGGTTTCCACACAATTCTTTATAAATGAGGCCCCAGAACTGTAGGAGAAATGTTACAATTTGTGCTAGGTCCAAAAGAAATCTTCAGACTTCTCCTCACTAAAAAGTTTGAAGCCATCAGGCTTTGGTTTAAATGAAAAGGAATCATTGTACTGCTCCTGCAGGTAGATCTGACTGTTGTCTGCGTAGAAGTGAATAGAAACATTTAATTTTCTGCAGATGGAGCCAAAGAGGTCGTTGTAAATGGGTTCAGGGAATAGATTTGTGGGGGACTCCACATGTGAGTAGGGACTGAGAAGAAAACAGATTCTCTGTGGCTTAGAGAGAAACTCCTGTCACACAGATAAGACCAGTCTAAAGCAGAGATTTTGAGGCCACAAAACTCCTGCCAGGACATCAGAAGAGTGTGATCCACTGGATCAACAGCAGCAAAAGAACAGCTGAGTTTCCTGAATCTGTACAGAGTATTGGCAGGAATAGGTTTTGCTTTTCATTCAATTTTTTTTGTCTTCCACTCTCAGATGAGTAAGACCCTTCTTCCTTCTCTCCTGCTCTTCCTTCTCTTCCCTGCTTTGCTGCTTGGAGACTTCTCTACGTTTTCATTTGAAACTAGAGATCATGGACATTTTTATTCTTATGGATTTGGTTATCTGGTCTGTTAATAAACTTTTGGAACACATTTCTTCCATGGGAGGACATGTCAAAGGTGGGACCTCTGTTCTGGAGATATATCTGGATTCTGATCACTGGATTCTATAGACTGGCTTGGTGGTCTCCTGGTGTCGGTGGCTATTCAGGCCATCTCCTGGCTGCCTGACCAATATGAAGGATTGTTGTTCTAGCAGCACTCAGACTTTAGCCTTGAGAGAGCTGGACTCGGTCTGTAAGTGGTTCTRATGAAGGTCATGGGCCAGCTGTGGTCCCTGGACTTTGCTGCCAGATGGAATTGATCTTGGAGGAGCTGATAGATCAGCTCAGCAGGATTGTCCACATTATTTGTCTGATTGGATTCACCACATTGAGCTGTACCAGCAGACATTAAGGCTGATGGAAAATTGTTATTGTCTACCTGACCGAAAACAGTTTCTCTGTTCCCAAACAACTGATTACAGATTAGGCTCTCCCCTATGTTGACCTTGAAGGCTGTGGAACTAAATTCTCCAGGGTGTTTACGTGGACTTGGCTCCCCCCCACCTCTCCCCTCTCACTCCATCTGATCTGATCCCCTGAAAGTCACCCTGAAGCTGCACAGAATGAACAGTTCAACACCATTATTCTGAACTCTGGGCTTGATCTTTTTGGGACTGGATTCTTCAGACTCATTCTTCAGATATCCACAGAAGCAGACAACACTCATGGTTCAGACACACACCCTCTGAACTCACTGACTCCTCTGGCTGATAAATGTGATCATGCTTGTAGAGGTTTTTATAAACACCATAGTGTGTCACTTTTTGTTCATATTATATGATGTTTTGTTTATTTCCCTCATCTAACCTTCTGTGTTTTTTTCAGTTTTCTCTTTAAAGGCAGTGCGACCCCTGCTGGTTGCTACATGACCTGTTCACCTGTTCATCCATGTTTTTGTCATGTGTGTCTTCTTGAATGGGTGTTCTTAAAAGTAATTTCATTGTGCTCCATACAATGACAATAAAGGCATCATCAATCAATCAATCAATATTCTTGATTTCCCTCCTTCTTTAATCATCTCATAGCTCCAACTGACCTGTGGGAAAACACCGGGCAGGAAATAGCCTCTGCACTTCGAGCCTTGGGACTGCCAATTGGTCCTGTGGTTACCATGGAATCAAACAGCAAAGGCAGAGCTCAGGAGGTGCTGGAAGACATCAGACAGGCTGACAAGGTCAAAGGTTCGAACCAAGAATGGAGCTAATTGTGATGTTTTGTGTCTCAGTGACTGGTTGTTGTTTTAACACTGAAATAAACTGGGTTAGAGGGTTAATCAGTTGTTTTACTCTGTTTCTTTAGTGGTCATCATGTGCATGAGCTCTGTTCTGATTGGTGGAGAGCATCAAAAAGTTCTCTTGTTGGCTGCACTGGACATGGGGATGGTCTCTGACGGTTACATCTTTATTCCCTATGATGCCCTGCTATATGCCATGCCATATCAGGTAATGGATCATATTCCACATCAGTTAAAAACAGTTTTTATTTTCAGCAAATATTTAGATTTTTTCAAACTGCAATTCTACTCATGAACTGTGGGGGGCACTGTTTATTTCAATTCAACTTTAATTATAGTTCACTTTCCAACCATAAAAAAACAAAGTACCAAACAAAGCAACACACAGTATCGGTTAGCGTTAGGGTACACACACACACACACACACACACACACACACACAC